CTGTGTGTGCCTGGCCTGCTTTTCCACATTATTAAAGTCAATGATTAAAGAAAGAAAGAAAGAAAGAAAATAAACTCCCATGTCGTTTCCACAGTATCGCTGTATCTCTCAAAATCCTTTGGTGGGAAGAAAAACTCCACAATGATTCCTTCTGAAATGTGTATTTGTTAGTTTAACCAATATATTGAACATAAAAATAAATATTCTATTCAACTTAAAATCTCTATATTAAACATCTTACAAGCACACTCAACTTCAAAAGCCTAAAATTGACATAATTCTGGAAGAGTTCATACTTGGGGGTTAAAGGTCAGCTGCCTGCATCTCTTTACCTTGAAGATGCTACGTTTACTTTTCGAATTTTGCCTTTCCAGCAAAGCCTGGCTTTCAATACTGGGTTTACACCGGTTTAGTCTTCTGTTAAGTCCTCCTCATCACGAGCTGGTTGGTTAGCCAGAGCAAAAGACTCGAGGACAAACACCCGGCAGATCGGACAGTGCTGGAAGTGGCACACGCAGCCGTCGCATACGCATGCATGCCTGCATGGCAACAGCACTCTGTTAATCGGTGCATTCTGACACACCACACAGTCCCTGCCTTGGGTATCAGGCCACTCCCCTTCTGAATCAGACTCCTCCCCCTTCTCACCTGACCTTTCGGGCTGTGGCTCCGCCCCTTGCGTGCTTATCGAAGGCTCTGTGGCTCCAGACAAGTTGCTGTTGTCTGCTGACATGAAGAGAGGCTGTGGAAACGAATAGTTTTAAAGTCCCCATGAAATCAAAATTAACGTTTTTTTTGGGTGTTAGTATCAATATGTTAGTCTTAAGGTTATCTATAAGCCAGTGTGCTCCAAAACAGTGACACAATTCGGATTTACAAGATATAAGCATTCAAAGCTTGCAGTTCGTCACTTCATATCACTTCGAATCATATGCGCGAGTCGGCATATATTAAACACTTTTAAAAATACACAGCCTCAGCATGATTATGACCACTATTTTGTTTTACTAAGAGTTTCATATTGAATCTAACGTAAGGGGGTAATCTATTAGACTGTGGCTGTCAAATACGGCTTTACCGAGCTCAACGGCTCTGGCCCGAGCAGATATAAACAAAACGCTATTGGCTACTTTAAAAAGGGGGCGGGGCTGCCCAATATGTCCCGCCCTGTCTTCCTGTTTCAGTTGAAATTACATCACCACATAGAATAATGCTGCGTGTTTCAAGGCACTTCAGGGGACCTTTAAGCACAAAATCCCGCTCTAGACAAGGTACTTAATTAATGGTATATAATTAAACACTGTCCAATTTTGCTTTAGGGACACTAGGTGATGAAGGTTAAGTGTGATCAAAATGAGCATACAAAAACATCCCAGAACAGTAAAAAATGACAATGTTGTGAACAAGTTTTCATACCTTCAGATTGTACAAATTCCCTTGTGCCGTGAGGAGATACTGAAACAAGATTCTCGCAGAGAGTCTGTATTTGTCATCAGGAACGTGGAGGACTGTCACACTGGCCACCTAGAGAGACGACAGAATAATGGGACTTCATCTTGTCCCATAAAGCAAATGATGAAGAAAAGACTGCTGCTTACAATATTGTAGTTGTCTCTGGTTTCTGGGTTGGCCAGTGTCAGCACAGCAACCAAGGGGTATCGATCCCGGGGGAGCAACCCAAAATCGGTTACTCCGAGATCTGGAGGCATCTGGGTGAAGTATTCTTCTTTTTCTTCTTTATGTATACTAATGCTATGTTAAGGACAAAGCATGAAATTGTGTTCCATCATATTAATTAAAAAATGTTTTATTTGTCACATAGGGGAGTGGGAGATATGTAAAATGTGTTTTATCACCATATATTTAGGCAGTCATATACAGATGCTATAACAAATGATAACATTATAAACGTAAGTTATATAAAAACGAATACAAAAATTGAGAACTGAATATTACACTCTTTCCTGGCTGGTTTATACAAATGTAAGCAATGTGAATATGCTTGTATATGTTTACAAAACAATTTAGATTTGGATATATATATATATATATATATATATATATATATATATATATCTTAAAAAATGTTTATATTTCTAATAAACAGTAATAAAATATTTCTATTTCTAACTGAACATTCTATTCATCAATCTAGTTTTGCCGTTACAAGAATAAATGACATATTAATTTATATTAAAATAGAAATATTTTTATTTGTAATACTATTGCACAATATGACTGTTTTTACAGCAGTTTTGATCAAATACATGAAGCCTTAGTGAGACATTAAAAAGCTAACTGACCCCAAACTTCTGAATGGTAGTGAACATTTTTATTTTAAAGATAAATCATCATAATGGCATGATATAGTAGTTATTGTTTTTCCGTTTATGTACAGTATATCGTATACATTTATGTGCAATTTTATTTGAAATGCAATCATCACGTTAACATGATGAATGGTTTATAGCATTTTTTTTTTTTACTCATGATGACATGATATAGTTTACCTCTAATGTACAGCAAGTCGTCTCCGAATCACTTTTTTTTTGAGAAATCACATTTCCATACTCATTTCAGTTAATGGCACACATCCAGAAATACATTTAGACATATTAGTTTTACCTCGACCTATTTTTTCTTTACCTTGAGGACAATTTAAGTCAAAAGTGGCAGAGTTTCCCTCACTCTCCCCTGTTCTGTTGCAAAGATAATGTGAAATGTTATTACAGAGCTATTTCTAAGACAAATGAAGAGGATACTTGAAGCTTTGGTGGTGAAGGTAGCTTAACTCCAGAGCCTCTTGAAACAGCTCTGGTGTGCGGAGCCGGAGCCCGTGCTGGTGACTCTGAAGGGCCGCCTGGAGAGCCTGGACCCCACAGCCCCAGAAACAGCTGAGGACGCAGTCTTCAAGACAATATGGCTGCAAACTCGCACCCTCTGACACAATGAGAAAACACATACACTTACTGAGCACATTTTACTCATTTCATATTGATTCAACATTGTTATTGTTAGTTTCTCACCAGTTACTGTACCAGCCGTAGAGTCCATCTCCAAAGCGAAGGGATTGGTCACCTGCACCATCTTCCTCTCAGAGACAGCTGTTAGAGATTCAGTCTCATCTGAACTGCGTAAAATTACCGGGACATCAAATCCAAACCTTGACAGACGAGGACAAAATTAGTCAAGACAGAGATTAAGGATGTAACCACCAACTTCTGCTTTTAAGAAGGAACTAGATAACTAGAGATGGCATATTAAACCCCCAAAAAACATCAACTTCACACCTTAAAGAAGTCCATACTTAACCCAACACATCTAACACTGGTCTAAAATGTAGTTTATCCAGATAAATATGAACTTACCAGCCCAACACAACAGCCACAGTGATAATGAAACATACTGCTATGACAGCAATGTAAAAGAGAGGAGAATACTCATACAACATCACTAAAAACTCCGCGGCCATTATTAAAATGTTACATTAATACAATGCGCATAAATGTCGGTACGTCCGATAAAATAAACACTTTTTTAAAGTGCGGTAGTCTTGTATGCTATGCAGTCTTGCGTTGGGCTGTCACCCTGCAAGACTCACCAATGTAAACTTCCGGTTGTGACAGCCGCTACGGTGGTCCGGAGGTCCAAATCCGCACATGACTCTAATACCGCCACGCATAGGGAGGAGCGTTACAGCAAGATAGTGGAGGGAAGTGTTGGAATCGGCTCTTTCAAACACAATCACTTCAATAAACCGTTTTAAAAATGAATCAGTTGTGTTTACGTCATCACGTAACGAAGCGTCGTTTTTACATTTTTTTATGTAAAATTCTACCGTCGTTCAAACCTTCTTATTCCACTTTTTACATTTTTTTTTTTTACAGTCTATGGTTCAAACGCAAAAACCGAACATTATACAATAATGCATGCAAAACTAAAGCAGAACAATATTTTATTACATTATTAATAGCCTAGTATACAAATTAGAATAACTGCATTCGGGTATAAATACATCAAATACATACAAATAATAATAATAAAAACCTCACGATTAATAAAACCATAAATATAGGGTTTAAATTAGTAAACTGGCTTCTATGAATAAGAAATTTACTCACAAATATGTGACCATAGACCACAAAACCAGTCATAAGGGCCTTTTTTTTTTAATTGATAAATTGATAATACAACTATTTGAAAATCTGGAATCTGAGGGTGCAAAAACATCAAAATATTGAGAAAATCGCCTTTAAAGTTGTGCAAATGAAGTCATTGGCAATGAAGTCCTTCCTAATCAAAATTACGTTTTGATATATTTACGGTACAAAATATCTTCATGGAACATTATCTTTAATATACAAATGATTTTTGGCATAAAAGAAAAACTGATCATTTTGACCCATAATGCATTGTTGGCTTGCTACAAATATATCCATGCTATTTATGACTGGTTTTGTGGTCCAGGGTCACATATGAGTAAATCAGTTAAATACACTTTTCATCCTCTTTAGAATATTCAGTGTAGCCAAAAAGTAAAAGTGAACACTGAATATTTTAATTGAAAAAAAAAAAATCTATTCTGTGTCTCTCAATAAGTAGAATGCCAAGTTGATTCATTTAGTTTTCACAGAAAGTACAGTGTATGCTTTTTAAAGTATATTACGTTTTATATTACGTTTTTGTTTATTAATAAGGTTGTTTACTGCATTTTTAACCAAGCTTATTAAAACAACGTTATTTAGAATAGCCAGGCCTGCTGCCTACTTATATAATTTAAGCCACATAAAGATAAACTATAAACAGTCTAAGCCTAAGGCATATTCCAGTCCGCTATAAGGCAGAAATAATATGTGATATTTCAAAAACAGCAACGGTTTTCGCCACTGATCCATTGGACTCGAGAACCGCTCGGACAGATTCTGCCGTGGACGACTCGTTCAGACTGATTCTGTGAACCGGTTGAACCAATTCATTGAAAAGATCCGACTCAACAGAAAGATTCGTTCACGAGTCGGACAGACGGCGCTACAGAGCAAGAGGGGCTCCACAGAGAGAAACACAGTCGGCGTATTAATGGAAAGTGAACAGCGTGGCGTGTCCGCTCTGTTAGTTGAGGACTGTGCGACTGAATTCGCCTTTATTTAATGGAGTTTCAAGTCCAGCGTGTGTGATTGACGCATCCGTACAGATGCTGGCCGCTCCGGTCGCGCCGGGGGAAGGAGAGGTTTTGACACAGTTAGATCTGTTGTTATTATAATCAGCTGACCGCTGCTGGAATCGCTCCGTTTGCTGTTTTCTAGAAACAGCGATGAGCGCTTATCAAGACAAAACGTCTTTGAGTTGTTCGCAAAGCAGGGAAAATGTCAGCGCCGTTAAATGGGGAAGGATGGAGGATGCGTGCGCGTCCTGCTTTGACGAACCCACGGGCGACGCGATACGCGCCGGGATGGACGCGGTGCAGGCGGGCATAGACGGACATCTGCCGCTGCCCCGAGGCCAACGCCAACTGATGCTAGGCCTGGTGGAAGAGGGTTTCGCCGCCTATCATGGCCGTCTCGGTTCCGACCCGGACTCCGGTTATCTCGACATCACCGGAGACCTCAACTATAGCGAAAGTGACGGGAACGTCGCCACGAAAAAGCGCAACCGCTCCAACAGCTCGCGGCACCGCGGGGAAGTTGTCACGGAGCTCGGACCCGAGGAGGTGCGCTGGTTCTACAAAGAGGACAAGCGGACCTGGAAACCGTTTGTTGGACACGATTCTTTGAAAATCGAGTTGGCTTATCGCAAATACTGCGAACTTAATCCGAACGAGGTCAAACGGAGGGATGCGGGCGAAGAAGCGGAGGATTTATTCGAGGCACCGTCAGGATGCGACGCCCCGGAGGTCCGGAGACAGTCGGCGGCGCTGGCAGCGCAACCGGTAACCGAGAGCGCGGAGGCTGGATGCTCTACGGAAGAGACGGAGCTGGATTCAGAAAGCATCAACGTGGACGCAGTGTGCGTCCGCGGAGGACTCTACGAGGTGGACATCAACAAGAAAGACTGTTATCCTGTATACTGGAACCGTGAGTATTTTTACAAGAAAACAAAATTAGATGTTTTGCAGAATGTTCATACAGCCCTTATACATACAGCAATATTACTGTCAAAAGCACCATTAAAGTATCCTAAAAAGTAGTCTGTGTATACTTCAAACTTGACCCTGAAAGTCATCAGATTTTATGTCAGTCTCGTCAGATTGAATGTGGTTTCTATCGAATAACAACATACATTACGGTCTGTTCCTCAAATGGATGGCACTAGTCCTTTTGGCTTCTTTACTAATGGAGCATTAACTAATGGAGATGTAACATCTCCTAAGGGGGAAGTCGTGGGAGCGCTCTCTCTCACCTTCAATACCATGACTGAGGTGCCCTTGAGCAAGGCACCGAGCCCACCAACTGCAGCATAAATGGCTGCCCACTGCTCCGGGTGTGTGTTCACGGTGTGTGTGTGTGTGTGTGTGTGTGTGTGTGTTCACTGCTGTGTGTGTGCACTTTGGATGGGATAAATGCAGAGCACTAATTCCGAGTATGGGTCACCATACTTGGCCACATGTCACGTCACTCACTCACTCACTCACTCACTCACTCACTTTTGTGTTTGTAATAACATATGCAATAATGGCAGAACTTTTATTTTAAACTTTTTATTCAGAGGTGCAGACAGATTTCAGTGAATTGTTGTGGGCAAAATCAATCAATAGGAATCAGATGTTTCATATCAAGGTGAAAATGTAAAGGGTGTTTAAGTTCTGTGTGAGCTGTAAAATTTGTGTAAAATTGTGAGCTATTGACAATAAACAATGGTCCATTTTTTGCCCACTAAATTTTGGTGAGATTTTACTAATGTCACTGGACCTTAAAAAGAATAATTCACTCCAAAATAAAAATTCTGTCATTATTTACTCACTCTCAAGTTGTTCCAAACTTGTATGACCTTCTTTCTTCAGTTGAACACAAAATAAGTTATATTGAAGAATGTTGGTAACCAAACAGTTTCTGGTAGCCATTGACTTTCATAGTATAAGGGGAAATTCCTTCCAGCAAGGCATTGTTGATTTGGATACCAACATTTTTCTAAATATTTTGTGTTCAACAGAAGAACGAAATTCATACAGGTTTGAAACAACATGAGGGTAAATGATGACAACTTTTTTAATTTCTAGGTAAACTATCTCTTTCAGACTTCTATACACTACAATTTACAGTCTTTCATTTGCACGCTAAATTGTAGCCAAGACATCTAGACACACTTCAGCATTGAAATCAGTTGCATGCCAGTGGCATCATTCTGTACTTGCCTTCTCAATTTCAAGCTTAGTGTTCACAGTCCAAAACAATGAAACTAACTACAATACAGACAAAAGTTCACTTCAAGAATGAACAAAGTGGCATCAATGAATGTGAATTTAGGTGTTTGAGAAAACAGTGCAAACTTAGCGAAAAAGAGAAATCTATATATTGCTTTTCTCTATATGAAACATAGACTTTATTCAAGACACAAAAAATGTCATAAAAGTTGTGCTGTCAAACGATTAATCGCGATTAATCACATCCAAAATAAAAGTTTTAGTTTACATGATACAGTATATGTGTGAGTACTGTGTATATTTATTATGTATACTTCAAGAATCGGCTAAAAACACATCTCTTCCATCTTTATTTGACCCTCTAACTCCAGCACTCTCTGTTCTAATTCAATTCTTTACAAAAAAAGACTTGCACTTTTAGACTTGCACTCTATTCATTTACTAACTGCTTGTTTTCTTAAAAAAAAAACACTAACACTAGCTTGCTCTATACTGTTTGTATTCTGTGTATTTCTTTTCTTTTTATTTATTCTATAATTTAAAAAACCCTTGCTATGTGTACTACGTTAAGCTAACTGAGACTTGTTACAGCACTTGCGTATCATTGCTCTTTTGTTGATTTTGATTGCTTCCATTGTCCTCATTTGTAAGTCGCTTTGGATAAAAGCTTCTGCTAAATGACTAAATGTAAATGAAAATACATGCTGTATGTGTGTGTATTTATTTATACATAATAAATATACACAGTACACACACATATATCATGTAAACAAAAACTTGTCAGATGAAATGTTTCTTCAGAAACGGATAACAATTCATACTGCTTGCATTTACAGAACAGGACCACATCCCAGTCATGAGGGGCCAGTGGTTCACGGACGGGACCTGGTTGCCACTGGAGGAAGAGGACAGTGACCTCATTGAACTGGAGCACCTGGGCTGTTTCCGAGGCCGGCAGATGAAAGACACCTTTGACACGGAAGCGGTGGCCACCACGGTGGACAGCAAAGATGGTACTAAACCATGTTACGAATAGGACTCAGGGTTAGGGAAGCTTTGTAATAGGGGTCAAGCACACAAAGGCCGACTTAACATTAACGCTTAGTTCAGCTGATCTAGAGGCACGGTCATGAATGAACCACAACCCAACCCAGACATCCTGTTTGTCTCATATGACACACATTTGAAGTAAGTCAATCCCTGGTGACATGTATACTACAGAAGGGCTATTGACTGTCACTTGTGTTTGCAAATAGTCAAAAAGACCCTTAATTGAAATGAACTGAGCTGGTTAGGCATTACTTAACAGTCAGGTAATTTGAAACCGACGTGTTTGACTTCTGCCCTTAATTCACTCAGCCATTCACAGTCTGAAACTAAGCCGGAGCCACGTGGACTGGTACAGCGTGGATGAAGTGTACCTTTACAGCGATGCTACCACTTCAAAGATTGCACGGACTGTTACTCAGAAACTGGGATTCTCCAAAGGTTTGTAACAATCTTGATTAGTAAGTACATTCTCAGTGGTGTTGCTCATTAAAAAAAGTCCGCATGAAATGGCTTGATGAGTGCAGTATTCTGTCTTAAAGGGATAGTTCACCCAAAAATTCTGTCATTAATTACTCACCCTCATGTCGTTCCAAACCTGTAAGACCTTCGTTCATCTTCGGAACACAAATTAAGATATTTTTGATGAATTCCGAGAGCTCTCTGACCCTCCCATAGACAGCAAGGATCCTACCATGATCAAGGCTCAGAAACGTAGTAAGGACATCGGTAAAATAATCCATGTGACATCAGGGGTTCAACCATAATTTTACGAAGCTACAAAGCTACTTTTTGTGTGCAAAGAAAACAAAAATAACGACTTTATTCAACAATTCGTCTCCTCCGCGTCACCCTGGCAGCACATTCACAATATATTTAAATGTAACATTAAGTGATACACTAGAGTTAAAATTATGAATTGTACAAGTAATTTACATAAGCTTTAGCATGTTAGTCAACAGAAGTAGGCCTAAGTGTACTTCTTCAAAGCATAACAGAATTTTATTAAAACATAATGATTAAAAATGAACTTTAAAGTAAAACATTCACATTATGAAGTGCACTTTTTAAAAATCTTTTATGTTCGATAGAAGAAAGAAGCTCATATAGGTTGGCAGCACATTCACAATATATTTAAATGTAACATTAAGTGATACACTAGAGTTAAAATTATGAATTGTACAAGTAATTTACATAAGCTTTAGCATGTTAGTCAACAGAAGTAGGCCTAAGTGTACTTCTTCAAAGCATAACAGAATTTTATTAAAACATAATGATTAAAAATGAACTTTAAAGTAAAACCTTGATTTCACATTACGAAGTGCACTTTTTAAAAATCTTTTATGTTCAATAGAAGAAAGAAGCTCATATAGGTTTGGAAGAACATGAGGGTGAATACATTATCACAGAATTTTCATTTTTGGGTGAGCTATACCTTTAAGTACTCTTATATGGCTTTTTATTTAATTCATATTATATTATCTGCAAGTACAATTTTACCATTCTTCTAAAATTCAAAGTACACAACAAGTGCACATTCAGAACCTTTAAGCTTTTTCACAAGCAGAGCCATTTTTAAAACTAAAGATAAAATGAAGTGATTATCAATGTTACAAAGTAGCAGAGGTTCTTCCTTCATGTCTGGTTAGCGTCCAGCAGCGGGACCCGTCTCCATCGAGGTTATGTAGAGGAGGCTGCTCCAGAGGACACACCCCCTGAAACAACGCACATAGTCTTTGTGGTACATGGGATTGGCCAGAAGATGGATCAGGGCCGTATCATTAGAAATACAAGCATGTGAGTCCACTGATCACACAGCTGAATCTGGACAAAACCAGTCATCTAAACCTGAAACTAACTGATGCATTTCACTGATGGACAGGATGCGTGATGCTGCCCGCAAGATGGAGGAGAAACACTTTTCTGACCGAACAAATGAACACGTTGAGTTCCTTCCTGTGGAATGGCGATCTAAACTCACCCTTGATGGAGGTATTGACTATGGACAATAATAAAAAACAAAGTACATTATGTTTGAAATCTATTGTCATTGATAGATAGTTTATTTATGATGAAGTGTACTTTTTCCAGACACCGTGGACTCCATTACTCCAGACAAAGTGCGAGGTCTAAGAGACATGCTGAACAGCAGTGCCATGGACATTATGTACTACACAAGCCCTTTGTACAGGGATGAGGTGACATACAGCCACAATCCTCCATTCTTTCATTCATTTTCTCATTATTTTTCCTTTTTTTCAGCTCTCTAACCCATTATAAACTAGTCATGTTTCAAAATCTAGCACATAAACAACATGCTCCTTATGCAAAGACTGTACTTAAATTATGCATAATTATGTTGCCTTCTAAAATATCTCATTTTGGCCAAAATCTAAGGCAGCATCACGTGTTCTTTTTAAAGAAGGTACTCCCATGTAAAAAATAAATTACACATTAGCATACTTAAAAGTTATAATGAAAATAGTATACTTATGAAATAATATATTTAAATGTGAACAAAGTATTTTTTTCAGACACTTAATTGCATGTCAGTTGCAATTAAAATGCAATTAGATGAACCTTAGAGTGCTTTTTTTGACCCACCTAAGTAAATCTTTACATGTAATTTTATAATTCTATTTTCTTTCAAATATGGTTAAAGTGTACAGCCAAATGTCATGTCTATTGGAACTTATATGTCATGTATTTAAATATATCACATTTTCATGATGAAGTTGCAATTTAGTATATGTTAAATATATTAATTTTCAGTGTAATATTGAATAACAGAGTAAAATTATAATCACATACTTTACATGCAACATATATTTTAGTCAACACATCAAAATAATTGTACTTATTTAAAGCACAACAAAAGAGTAAAACAATTATTTAAAATGTACTTTAAAGTCAAACTTTTAATTTGACATTATTACGAATTACACTTTTTAATAGTGTGCTTAAGTGTGTAATCTTGAAAGTGTTCTCTGTTTGAGTATGCTTAATTGGCCTTTTATTTAATTAATATTATATTATCTCAAGTACATGCGTATCTGAGTGTAATTTGTGGACCAGAAATGTTGAGTATAAAATTCAGAAAGTATAAATAAATATAGGTCGATATTATTTAAAATATATTATTTTAACCAGTACGTGTGTGCGCTATGTATTTTAGCTTATTAGAGTATTTTTAGCTTAGCAACATTCAGTTGAAATCAGTTACTGAATTTCCCATGCACTTCACATGTTTTTTTATTCAGTACCTATGTTCAGTGTTACAAGTCTTTCACTTATTAGGTTAAATTCAGAATGCATTCTAATTTAGAAGGCAGCTGTCTATGTAGGCAGGATACAGCATGGCAGCTGACTAGGTTTTGGAGCATAGCTATTCTCAGTCTCTTTCATGTAAAGTTTGACTAAATGTCCCACACTGAAGCACACTCTGTCCTACTCTTTCCTAGTACACAAATAAAGTGTCGCAATTGTTCATTTCATGCTCACTGCACTTGCATCCTTAGATCACCCGGGGTCTGACCAAAGAGTTGAACCAACTCTACACGCTCTTTTGTGAGCGCAACCCAGAATTTGCAGAGAAAGGAAAGGTGTCCATCGTCTCCCACTCACTCGGCTGTGTCATCACCTTTGACATCATGACAGGGTGGGACCCTGTGCGCTTTGTTCATGAAGAGGTGCCAGATGCCATGGAGGCTGATGTTAGCAGACAAGAACGTCAGCTACTGGAGGATCTTCGTAACACATGCTTAAGGTTTACAACTAATTATAATTACACCCCATTATATTAGTAAATCTAATAATAATAAGCAGCACAATGACAATGAACATTAAAATAAACATTCTAGAACTTTTAACAGTTTAAAACTTAAAACAGTGTTTTAGGGTGGCCATTTCTGTGACTCCAAAAAGGAGGACACTCCAAGGCAGGATTTCAGGATAAAAACGGAAAAATATTCCTAAACAAGTGACAAAAAACAAACATTTTAATTAAATTGATTTAATTGATTTCCATGGACATTTTTTTTACCCTTTATAAGCCTTATACCCTTTATTTTTACCCTTTATATATTTACTAGTGCTGTCAAACGATTAATCGCAAAATATATACTGTATGTGTGTGTCTTTATATATACATAATACATATACACAGTACACACATATATTATGTAAACAAACACTTTTATTTTGGATGCGATTAATCGCGATTAATCGTTTGACAGCACTAATATTTACCCTTCTAACCTTATTAAATGTATGCATCATCATTAATTTAAATCTGTATATTTATTCAATAAATGCAATTACCAATCAAATGAAATCAATATTAACAAAATCTCAAGAAGCTGCATCTCAAGTTGCATTTAAATGTATTTCTGCAGACTGTTTAATGCAGTTCAGAGATGCCATGAATGCATTTATACAATGAACAAATAATGTGTTGAATATAAAAGAAAATAACAGTTTCCTTCAAAATGGCTGATTCATTCGGGAATGAAGAAAGTGACTTACTGATTTCATTTCCACATACTAGTATACTACTCTTGCAATTTGTACCTAAAAAGATATGCTAAAATAGTAAAAGTAGTATACTAGTATGCAGTTTCGGATATAACAACTGTCTTAATGAATGTCTTATTGAATCACTCACCCGATTCGTTCAGAAATGCTGAATCACTCAGGAACGAAACGCCACCATGTTGATCGGAGATAGAAGAACAAAAATAGACAAAACAGTCAATACTGACAATATTCTGTCTAAAATGTATATCACTTAATGTTACCTTATTTATTTATTATATACCATTGTATAAAGTATAAAATAGCGATCTTAAAAGGAGGACAAATGAGTGTCTGCTGTAAACGGACATGGTATTTCAAAACCAGACTGTCCAACCTGAAACCGGATGGATGGCCACCTTAACTGTAGCAACTGTATAGCAACATGCTAACAACCACTCAGATTAATCTAGTAATTGCATAGCAATACACTAACATCCACCCAGAACACACTAGTAAGACACTAACAACCACTCAAAACAGATGAGCAATCGCATAGCAACACACTAACAATAACCACTCAGAACACTCTAGCAACATGCTAACAAACACTAACAACATATTAACAACCACCTAGAACACAATTGTAAGACACTAACAACCTCTCAGAAAACTGTAGCATAGCAACACGGTAATAACTACTCAGAACGCTCTATTAATACACTAACAACCTCTCAAAGCACTCTCAACCACCTAAAACACAATAGCAAGACACTAACAACCTCTCAGAACACTGTAACAGCACAGCAACAAGCTAACAACTACTCAGAACACTATAGCAACATGCTAACATCCACCCAGAACACTCTAATAACCTCTCTGAACACTCCACAACGATCAAATAGCAACACCCTAGCAATATTCAGAACACTCTAGCAACACGCTAACAACCATTCAGAACACTAGAAACTGCATAGCAATATGCTAACAACCTTAACTACTGTAGCAACATGCTAACAACCACTCAGAACACTCTAGCAACATGCTGACAACCATTCAGAACATTAGACACTGCATATCAACATGCTAACAACCTTAACTACTGTAGCAACATGCTAACAACCACTCAGAACACTCTAGCAACATGCTGACAACCATTCAGAACATTAGACACTGCATATCAACATGCTAACAACCTTAACTACTGTAGCAACATGCTAACAACCACTCAGAACACTCTAGCAACATGCTGACAACCATTCAGAACATTAGACACTGCATATCAACATGCTAACAACCTTAACTACTGTAGCAACATGCTAACAACCACTCAGAACACTCTAGCAACATGCTGACAACCATTCAGAACATTAGACACTGCATATCAACATGCTAACAACCTTAACTACTGTAGCAACATGCTAACAACCATTTAGAACACTCTAGCAACATGCTAACAACCATTCAGAACACTAGGAACTGCATAGCAATATGCTAACAACCTTAATCACTGCAGCAACATTTAGCATGTTAGCAAGCTTAACCATTGTAACATACATATCTATGCTCAGAACACTGTAGCAGCATGCGGACATCCACCCAGAACACACTAGCAAGACACTAATAACCTGAACACTCCAGCAATTGCATAGCAACACGTTAACAATAAACACTCAGAACACTCTAGCAACATGCTAGCAACGATTCAGAACACTAGAAGCTGCATATCAACATGCTAACAACCTTAACTACTGTAGCAACATGCTAACAACCACTCAGAACACGCTAACAACCATTCAGAACACTAGAAACTGCATATCAAAATGCTAACGACCTTAACCACTGTAGCAACATGCTAACATCCACTCAGAACACTCTAGCAACACGATAACAACCACTAGCAACATGTTAACAACCACATAGAACACAATAGCAAGACACTAACAGCCACTCAGAACCATAGGTATATATACGTAGATGCCTCATTAGCGACTGTTTCTATGGGCCGCTATACGTAAGCCGTCCGCCATCTTGGAACGGTCAACTTGACATCATTCACCATAGTAATCACTGAATATTCGAAAGATGCCACAATCCTGCACAGAACGGCTCAACGGCTCTGTGCGAACCTACAGAATGGTGAATGACGTCAAGCTGCCCGTTCCAAGACGGCGGCCGCTTCTACGTGCCTGGAGCGGTCGAATGGGGAATCTATACATATCTATGCTCAGAACACTGTAGCAGCATGCGGACATCCACCCAGAACACACTAGCAAGACACTAATAACCTGAACACTCCAGCAATTGCATAGCAACACGTTAACAATAAACACTCAGAACACTCTAGCAACATGCTAGCAACGATTCAGAACACTAGAAGCTGCATATCAACATGCTAACAACCTTAACCACTGTATCAACATGCTAACAACCACCCAGACCACTCCTGCAACACACTAACAACCACTAGCAACATGCTAACATCCATTTGGAGCACTGTAGCAACCAAACAGAAACTTTGCTAATAAACGTTCACAACATCGTAGCCACTAACGTCCTGGCTGTCAGTTTTGCATGGCTAGCACCACTCTTGTCTTCATAAGAATATGTAAAAATATAGTTGTTATTTTAAAGGTGATTTCTGTTGTCTGATACACTAAGATTTAGAAATATCAACCTTTACAACCCTTTTCTATTAGTTCTTATTATCCATTTGTTTGTTTGTCAGCTGCATTGATTTTAGTGCTCTCCCATTGTTTCCGATGCATTTAAAAATCATGAATTATTAAAAGGTTTTTAGTTTTGTCTGCACTCTACTCCACAATGACAATCCCTCTGTTAATCTGGTTTATGCGATGTTCCTCTCCAAAAATTTAATTTAATATTTCATTTGCAGAATGAGGGATTTGGAGGATAAGCTTCGGCATTTCCAAACCTCATCCTCAAGACCCTCTCCAGCCCTGAAATTCAAGGTACATTAGTATAACCGTACCCTTCCTTTCTCCTGTTTGTCTTAATCAATAAACCATGTGATCTGGGGTTGTAGGTGGAGAACTTCTTCTGCATGGGATCTCCTCTGGCTGTGTTCTTGGCTTTGCGAGGTGTCTGTCCCGGAACCAACGGAACACAGGACCACATCCTACCCAAATCCATCTGCCAGAGGCTTTTCAACATCTTCCATCCCACTGATCCTGTAGTGAGTGTGATTAGATTGCAGTGTAAATATAGCTCAGGATCACATTTCTCTTTTTACTGGTCCATATTATGAGCCAGTTGGGAAACAAAACCTAGTCTGGAAATAAAATGATGAATTCTAGCATTAAAATACAAGTAATAGTTCATATTAATAGTTAGCTCTAATCTGTTGAAATTGTCCCTAAATTCTAATTCATTCAAATGCATTCTTTAAAATAAGTTTTTATTTATTTATTTGTAGTTTTTTACTGGCTTCTGTTGTTCCATGAACATTCATGGAACATTTCCATTCCACAGAAGCTTCTTTATAGTGGAAAAAGTTTCTTTAGATTGTTAAAATTTTTTTCACCGTAAGAAAAATGGTTCTTATAAAAACCTTTGATTGAAAGATTCTTTAAGGAACCCAAAAATGTTTCTTCCGTGCCTCACTGTGACCCCCCCCCCGCCCCCCTTTTTGAACTGTTATTTAAAAAATATGACCAAAAAAAAAAAGAAGTTTTAAATATTATTGGAGTGTTTTACAAGGAAATACTATATTTCTACGTCAAAGTTTTACATTCAATTTAATGTGTTACTTACCATTTCTTTGTAATTAAATGTAAAATTTACTAGCAATTTCTGAGTGAAAATTGTTTCTACACCATTTTTTTTTCAGTATAGTTCCTGTTATTGTAATCGAAGCTATATAATATCTGTATATCAGTCAGGAAATATACATAACAATCAAATAAAAACAAATGGTTTCCTTTTAGGCATACAGGTTGGAACCTCTCATCCTGAAGCATTATAGTAATATAGCACCTGTCCAAATTCACTGGTGAGTAAAATAATGCCTTTGCTAAATAAATGTAAAACTTTAATTCAAGTGTTAAATTGGGAAAAAAAATATTGTAAGCAAATAAAGTGCTGTTTCTATAATGTACAATGCACTCTGTGACTGCATATATTTTTGTACATTCATGTAACCATTGATTTTTTTTTTAGGTACAACACCACCAGCCCCACACCGTATGACCAGATCCGTCCCACTCTACTGAATCCGTCAAAGGAAAGTGCTTCTGTGTCCGATACGGAGAGCCTCCCGAGCCCCTGCACCTCCCCTCCACAGCCCCGCAGACACTACGGCGAGTCTATCACCAGCCTGGGCAAGGCCAGCATCATGGGTGAGATGGAAAGAGAGAGGTCATTAAAGGCGTCTGGAATAGTAAAACACTTGCAGGGGCGAGCAGAATGTATAGTGTGCAGTGTAGGAGTAGGATTACGCCTCCCTGAGATAATGGCAGTCTGCCTTCAATTACTGCGTACCTGCAGTTTATAGCTCTTGATTTTAGTGCGCAAAGCGATAAATAGAAACAGTTCAGCAAAGCATTGGATCAATAGGAAGCAATTAGGAAGTGTCACAGAAACAACTGGAGATTTGTAAAACCCCTGAGCAATAATATATATTATAGGTCAAAACAAAATTAACAGAAATTTATATATATATATATATATATATATATATTACTAGATGTGTATATATTAGGGCTGTCGGTCGATTAAAATTTTTAATCTTAATTAATTACATGATGTGTCGATTAATGAATCGAATTAATTGCAAATTACATTTGGCTGTGAAAATACCCCCAGAAGATTATTTAAAGCTATTTTTGTGTTAAATGAGAAAGTATTAAGTAGACTTTACAAATAGTAGTTTTAGAAAGAAATATTTTATTTGATTCAACATAAAATTTATTACACATAAACGTTTAGGCTATAACAGCCTGACATAAACTATGCAATATAAAAGAAGAACATTTGAGAAACATCAGTTTTTTTTTTGTTCATGCAATGGAAGTCATTGGTAACCATTCAAAATACCTTCTTTTATGTTCCACAAAAATGTCATTCAGGTTCGAGTAAATTATGACATAATTAAAAATTTTTGGGTGAACTATCCCTTTAAAGTTTTTTTCCCCCCCTTTTTTAAAATGAAATAATACTCTAAATAAGAAACTAAATCTGCCACGATACGGAGAGCCTCCCGAGCCCCTGCACCTCCCCTCCACAGCCCCGCAGACACTACGGCGAGTCTATCACCAGCCTGGGCAAGGCCAGCATCATGGGTGAGATGGAAAGAGAGAGGTCATTAAAGGCGTCTGGAATAGTAAAACACTTGCAGGGGCGAGCAGAATGTATAGTGTGCAGTGTAGGAGTAGGATTACGCCTCCCTGAGATAATGGCAGTCTGCCTTCAATTACTGCGTACCTGCAGTTTATAGCTCTTGATTTTAGTGCGCAAAGCGATAAATAGAAACAGTTCAGCAAAGCATTGGATCAATAGGAAGCAATTAGGAAGTGTCACAGAAACAACTGGAGATTTGTAAAACCCCTGAGCAATAATATATATTATAGGTCAAAACAAAATTAACAGAAATTTATATATATATATATATATTAATCTAATTAATCGCAAATTACATTTGGCTGTGAAAATACCCCCAAAAGATTATTTAATGCTATTGTTGTGTTAAATGAGAAAGTATTAATTAGTCATTATAAATAGTAGCTTTAGAAAGAAATATTTTATTCAAATCAACATCAAATTTATTAAAACGTTTATTAAACAAACGTTTAGGCTAACATAAACTATGGAACATAAAATAAGATAATTTGAGAAACATGTCAGGTTTTTTTTTCATGCAATGGAAGTTATTGATAACCAAAACTGCTTTGTTACCAACAGTCTTCAAAATAACTTTTTTATGTTACACAAAAGAAAGTAGTTTAAGTCATTCAGGTTTGAGTAAATCATGACATAATTAACATAATTATAAGACATAATTTTTTGGGTGAACTATTAATTTAAAGTTTTTTTTCTCCTTTTTCCCCCCCTTTTTTAAAATGAAATAATACTCTAAATAAGAAACTAAATCTGCCAGCAGGTGGCTGTAAATGTCTTTATGAGTCATTCATTCATTCGATTTGGGCTGATTCATTCAAGAATTTAAACAGCTCTCTTTATGAATGGGCCTTTGAATCATTGATTCACCCAATTCGTGTTGCTCGGAGACGCACAACAGTTCTGCTGTGGCTTTATAGGTAATTTTTTTTTTGTTGCCAAAACTGAGCAAAAACAGACAATATTGTGTTTAAAATATAACACAATATTAACTTCTTATTTACTGAACTGTTGTATAAAATCACATTTGCTCTCGTTATATTCAGGACAAACAGCACTCGTGTGATATTGCTCTCGCTGCTTGTAAAGCAGCACTTGTGTGACAGGCTATTGCTCTCGCTGCACGTGTGATATCGCTTATCATATGATATAAATATGAGACAAAAACACATATAAGGGCATTTTTGCCCCAATATCTTGAATTTTAGGGCATAACTACATTTATGGAGTTGTTGCCCTGCATCATATTCGTCAACAGTCAACTGTATGAAATGTAAGATTACGTACAGGTCTGGGGGCGGGGCCAGTGCATTAACTGCGTTAAAATATTTTAATCTCGTTATTTTTTCATAACTAGGCCTAATTAATTAAGTCGTTAAACTGACAGCCCTAATATATATATATATATATATATATATATATATATAAAACCTTTTTTTATACAAATATTGCATGTTCCAAAGCAATGCTGATTTCTGAAATAAGAAGGTTTTACGACTCTTAAAATGTAACATTATCTGTGCATACTTGTTTTTTTCTGCAGGAGCGGCAAGTATAGGTAAAGGCATTGGCGGTATCCTGTTCTCCAGATTTTCCCGCTCTAGTGGACAGGTGGGTGGTGTGGAGGAGGAGCCATCAGACTCTGAAGGAGGGGCTTGTGAGAAAGGGGAAGATGGCCGGCCTGTGGAGTTAGACGATAAAGTTGAGGAAAAGACAGAGGAGAAAATCGAGGAGAAGACAGGATACACCAGCATGTTACAGTCAGCCTCTGCCATTATGGATAACTCGTCCTGTAAGCACCATCTTCACAAAGAAGAACACACAGTTTCATAATTTTCTCAGTACTCATAATTTCATGATTTCAGTATTTTGGTTTAGAAAACCTGTTTGGAAACAAACTATATCTTTGCAGTTTGGTGGCGCTAATATTTCCGATTTTACTGATAACTTTATCCTTTATTATAATGGAAACATGTTTCCACATTTGAGTAAAAAATTAAAAGGTATTTGTAAGATAAGGTTTAAAGTAAGAAATTAAGTCACATTGTGAGATATATAAAGTTGCAATTACCAAACATAAAGTCGAATTGCAAGATATAAAATACATTGTGAGATGTGAAATCGCAATTGCAAGATATAAAGTCACATTTTAGACATATAGATGTCCTAAGTTATTGACTAACAATTTGAATATATAAAGTCAGAATTCCAAGAAATATATAATTATAAGAAACAAAGTCGCAGTTGTGAGATATAGTCAGTAGTCACATTGCTAGATATGAAGTCACAGTGTGAGATATAATATTACAGTTCTGAAAAACAAAGTCACAATTGCAAGATATAAAATCATGCCGTGGATATAAAATTGCACCATAAGCTATAAAATCATAATTATCAGAAACGGGGTCGCAATTACGAGATATAAAGTCACAATCTGGAGGTACAGTCACATTTTAAGACATAAATTCATCCTTTGAACATATAAAATCTTAATTCCAAGAAATAAAGTTGCAATTTTAAAAAAGAAGGCCACAATTGCAAGATAAAGTAACATTGCTAGATACAGTATGAAGTCACAGTGTGAGATAAAAAGTTGCAGTTATGAAAAACAAAGTTGCAACTGCAAGATGTGAAATCATAAAATTGCTCTGTCAATTACCACAATTATCAGAAACAAAGTCGCAATTGCGAGATATAAAGGTCACATTTTAAGATATACATTCACAGTTTGAAAATATAAAGTCACAGTTCCAGGAAATAAAGTTGCAGTTGTGAGTGAAGTGACATGTGGCCAAGTATGGTGACCCATGCTCGGAATTAGTGCTCTGCATTTATCCCATCCAAAGTGCGCACACACACAGCAGTGAACACACACACACCGTGAACACACACCCGGAGCAGTGGACAGCCATTCTTGCTGCGGCGCCCGGGGAGCAGTTGGGCCTTGCTCCTTGCTCGAGGGCACCTCAGTCGTGGTATTGAAGGTGGGAGAGAGCGCTGTACATTCACTCCCCCCACCTACAATCCCTGCCGGTACGAGACTCGAACCCACAACCTTTGGGTTACGAGTCCAACTCTCTAACTATTAGGCCACGACTTCCCTATAGGGAATAAAGTCACACATATGGCACATAAAGTCACAATTATGAAAAGAAGTTATGATGTAAAATCACATTACAAAATATATTAACAATTCGGAGAGGTACATTTGTAATTTGCAGCATGTAAAGTTATTTTTTTTTTTGTGGTTATGAATTCAAACTGTTAGATACAACATTGCAATTATGATCAAGTCGCAATTGCGAGAAATAAAGTCACAGTTTTTTTGAGATTTATTTTTACTCTGAGGTTGAAATGGCTTCCATAAGGACTTTCGATGATTTGTCAAATTTGCTTTTGAGTAGAAAGTCAAACCTCCAGACCTTCAAAACGCATGACAATGACATTCTTCTTGTGACTGTTTTGCAGTTGAGCTCGAGAAACGCATAGACTTTGAGCTGAGGGAGGGCCTGGTGGAGAGCCGCTATTGGTCAGCGGTGACGTCGCACACAGCCTATTGGTGCTCCCACGATGTGGCTCTGTTTCTGCTAACATTCATGTACAGGCCAAATGAAGCGAATGACATGCCAGAGGACAACCCCGAGTCATAACAAACACACATATGAACTCTCACACAGCACCACCCTTGATCGCTCCCTTAATATAGTTTAGCAGACCTTGTTCACTGTGCATCAGAGATCCTGTCCTTGCCTTGTTTTCCCTAATTTAGAAGCACACCCATGGAAGAGACTTACTCTCTCCACTACATCCCCAGACTAGGATTGTTCTTAACCTCGATGAGATGGTGGTAATGATACTACTTGTTGCAGCTTGAAAATTCTGACTGTTCACATCTTGATAATTCCCAAAGCAGCAGACTCTTCATATTGACTGATGTGTATTGACTTAAAGGGATAGTTCACCCAAAAATGAAAATGTGATGTTTATCTGCTTACCCCCAGGGCGTTTCGTGTCTTAGGACATCAATGTGTCGTCACGAGCCGCAGGGTTTAATTTGGATTTGTCTGCGCATGTTTTTTTTACTCTCATAGATTTTGTTACCATTGCCATGCATTATACGACTGATAGACTGCAACGGTTAAAGTTAAAAATCATCATATGTGTTCTACTGAAGAAACAAGGTCACCTACATCTTGGATGCCCTGGGCGTAAGCAGATAAACATCAAATTTTCATTTTTGGGTGAACTATCCCTTTAAGTTGTGGTTGTATAGTATGACTGACAAAAATCTGCTGAATTGCAGGTTCACAATCAGAAGGTTTTTTTTAGAAGTACATAAGATGTGTTTTCTTGCCTAAAAATAATAGTTTTGACAATTTTTATAAATGAAGCATAAATACTATGTTTACATTATTTAGATGATAAAACACAATCTGCATCACTCCTACAAGTGGCCAAATATTGAGTTGATAGTTGACGGGAGCAGTGCACATAGATAGATTAATTCGAAGAGAATAACCATTAGTAAACATGGTTCGCCCAAAAATATCAATTCTGTCATTATTTGTTCACCCTCATGTTGTTCCAAATTCATGTAATTTTCTTAAGTGGAACAAAAAGAGATATTTTAAAGAATTGTACTAGTTGCTTTTTTACATGCAGTTACATTGAATGGAGACCAGTGTTATTTTAGTATCGTTGATACAGACTTTATTCATATTTTGAGTTTTTATTTATTTATTTATTTACTTGTTTTCATTCTAATTTTAGTTTATTTATTTATTTTCATTTTATTTAATTTAGCCTCAGTATTTTATTTGTTTTTATTTTTTATTAATTGCTTTCTTGTAAATAGAATGAGAAATGTTGGCAAGTAGCTGTAATAAAATAGGTTTATATTTTTTATATTTTATTTCAAGTAATGATTTTTTTTTTTTCCTCTTTTTTTTTTTTTTTTGGTTAACGATTATAACCCTGATGCAAACTGAAGCTTTTAAGCTTTAAAAATGTCGCGAAACACCATAAAGTTTCTGAAAATTGAAAATATTCCAAGTCCTCTGAATTTAATGTGAAGAACAGATTGAAATTTAAGTTTTCATTCTCTAAAAATGTTCATATCTGCCCTAGCTCTCCTTTCCACAGTCATGAGTGGAGTAGCAGTGTCTGAATCATGAATGCATCTTTATTTGATTTAGCTCTTAACTGATGTAGTTGAAAAAAAACGTCTGAATGATTCAATCAACCGAGCTCAACTCACTGAATCTTTGATCCGGTCGTAGTGTTTGAGGAGAACGTTACCAGTGAATAACCACTGACCTTTCAGTCTGTTCCCAAAATTATTTTCTAGCTTCAGACGACTTGGACTAGTTGTATGGATCCCTTTTATGAGCCCCTTTGCACCTTGAAAGCCTCAGTTCCCATGTATTGTAACTGGAAAGATCGAGCAGGGCTGATGCTTTTGAGAAACGCAGCCCAGAACATTCTTCAGAATTTCTCCTTTTGTCTTCCATGGAGGTCATACTGGTTTGGAACATCATGGTGGAGGGTCACAGAATTTTCGTTTCTAGATGAACTATTCCAGACATTCCCATTTCCCTTTTCCTTGTTCTCTTTCCAATACAGTTTTGAGGCATTAGTTTCTCCTCTGCACTCGCATGATAGACACTGAAATCTACTGCACATTTGAATGCACTCTTTGCTATGATCACCACTGAATTAGAGTTTATGCTTTAACGTGCATGAAAGACAAAGTCTGGATGTTTTCCACTGAAGCTGTTCGAAAAACCCCTTACAACTGGATCTCCTCTTAGTTCTGTCCAAGTTGACACATTTAACATTTTTCATACGTGGCATTCTCTGCAGTTGGCATATCAAACATGTTACTTGTCATGTTGTTTTCTAATGTATTATAACACTAATTAACCGTACAGTCACACTGCCATTTTAAATTAATACCATCGTTTTTGTTACGTTCATGTTTTCTGTATTAATTTTGTATGATTTGTTTACAGTAATCCTAAAAAATGACACCCCCCATGCCTTTACGATGACAAGAGAAAAGCACTTAACATTTCTCCTTACCTCACCCTTGAATGTGCCAATAAAGTGAAGAGTGCGATCTTCATCAGGTGTCAGAGGGAAACGTCTGCATTATGTGCATATATATCAGAACTGGACTCCAGCGTGTCTGTTCATGTTTAGCTTCAGTGAACACAGAGCTGTTCCTCTTTAATGAACCTCGTGTTTTTCATTAAAATTGATAGCGACCGCCTGCTCTGTCGCATTCTGTTAATTGCTTTTAAATTTTGACTTTATAGGTAATATAGCTATCGGCTACGAGCAGAGTTTGCTGTGGGCCCTGATCAGAATAAATGGAAAACAATACAACTTTATTAATCCCTGAGGGGTGATTTAGCTTTAACCATCAATAATGAGTCATCAAATAGAGACACTAGAGCTGTTGTTCTCAACTGGGGGTGTGACCCAATAAACAGGTCAGCAATACAATACATTTTTAAAATGGAAGGGTAAAATTGTTCCATACATTTTGTTGTTAATGTCAAATTTGCATTCTATCAAAATAAGCAGTATTTTGGTGTAAATCCACCTGTCTTTTGATAATATGGCCAGTATACTGATACAATATTTGTGGCAGTTTTTGTTATGTGTGTTAAGCTGGTAAATTGCACTTGCTTGTTTGGGGTCAGTTTTTTATTTATTTTTTATTAATATATTTTTATAAGATAGTTATAATGTTACAAAAGATTTCTATTTCAAATAAATACTGTTCTTTTGAACTTTCTATCCAATAATCAGATAACCCTGAATGAATGTATCCTGGTTTCCACAAAAATATGAAGTAGCTGAAACTGTTTTCAACAATGAAAATAATAAGAAATGTTTCTTGAGCACCAAATCAGCACTGTGACACTGAAGCAGTCATATTTTGGTATCGAGATAGTATTATACTTTTTATTAATATTTTATATTATTATTTTTTGTGGGGGGCCCGAGCACTAAGCACCTGTTCACTGGAATTTTCCATTTATTATTACATTTTGCATTTTATATTTTTCAGTTTTAGTTTCAGTTATATAATAACCCCACAATGAAGACTGGAGTAATGGCTGGTGAACATTCAGTTTTGACATCACATTACATTTTAAAATATATTAAAAATAAGTTATAAGTTATTTTTTTTTTACATTATACTATTTACAATATTACTGTTCTACTGTATTTTTGATCAAAGAAATGCAGCCTTGTTGAGAATAAGATACTTCTTTAAAAAACATTTAAAAAAACGATACTGCGTACATATTTTATTATATCATTAGATACCAAATGGCATAAAAATCCCTATTTATCAATTCATTCATATTAGTTTGTTCGTTTATTCATTGAATTATGTATGTATTCTAGTGCTGTCAAACGATTAATCGCGACTAATCGCATCCAAAATAAAAGTTTTTGTTTACATAATATATGTGTGTATAATGTGTATATTTATTATGTATAAATACAAACACATGCATGTATATATTTAAGAAAAATATGTTGTTTATATATTAAATATATTTAAATATAATATAAAATAGAAGAATATAAATATATAAATGTATATACATGTAAATATTTTCTAAATATGTACTGTATTTGTGTGTATTTATGTATACATAATATATATACACAGTAAATATATATATATATATATATATATATATATATATATATAATGTAAACAAAATGGCTCTGTCTCAAGTCTGCAAGGCGCTAAACTAGACAGCATGTTTGAGCTCAACTGACTCAGACGCGTCTAGGATCCCTAAAGTGCTCTCTCAGTAGGCAGCTCACTAGGATATAGCACACAGCCTGCGGGTTTTCTGCGGGGCTTGCCACACGCCCAACAGTCTCTCATGAGATGCGGGATAAAGATGGCTTGAGGCACAGACACAGACAGGGCTGCTGGACGCTTCTCGCCGCTCTTCAAGGCTCGAGAGAGGAAGAAAGCTACAGGACGAGGAAGCAGAAGGTGTGTTGATTTATCTATTTATTCAAAAATTAGTGTGGTTTTAGGAATTTACAAAGTTGTTTTGTGTTTGGAAACTTTTGAGCTAACGTGTCATTTAGATTTGAAATGTGTTAACTTTTTAATAAATGAATTTAACATTCAAACGTCGGTTGTTTAAAAATGTAATATTAAATGCTTTTTTTTGACCATATCTATTAACTTTGTTGGTCACACTGGGGCTGGTTGTCACTTATTACTCGAGTGAATAGCGTATTTCAATATATGTATAGATACATGACATAAACTTGGCTACTATATATAAAATATATACTTTATACTGTTCAAAATATTTTTAAATCTTAGAAAAAATTTAATATTCTTGGGGGAAAAAAGTTTTCAATTTTAATATATTTTAAAATCTATTTTATTCCTGTGATGCAAAGCATAATTTTCAGCATCATCACTCCAGTCTTCAGTGTCACATGATCCTTCAGAAATCATTCTAATATGATTATTTGCTGCTCAAGAAACATTTATTATTATTATCAGTGTTGAAAACGGTGTGCTGCTTAATATTTTTGTGGAACTGATACTTTTTTCATTACACTTAAAAAAAAAGTTATTTAAAGTTAAATTATAGCAGTAGAACAATTTTGTTCTAAAAGTATTTAATGCAAAAAATAAAAAAAAAAAGTATTTAAAATTATTTATAATTTATATATATATATATATATATTATCGCACTAATTGGGGTAAGTTGTCACAAAACGATGAATGAATCTGCAGAAATGTAAATATTAAACCGTTGATTTGACCAAGTAATATTAATCAGTTAATTTATTATGTGTTATAATGGCAATTGGCTCAAATTCTGCATTCTAACATTTATTATTATTATCAGTGTTGAAAGCGTTGTGCTGCTTAATATTTTGTGGAAATGGTGATACTTTTTTTCTCAAAGTTCAAAATTACAGCTATATATATATATATATGAAACAGCAGAAATGGGCACAAAAATATGTTTTGTTTATGTTTTTGGAAACATTTATACAAGGCATTTTGAAGATGAACATTCAGTCAGCCATCAGCCGTGAGATCTTTGTCCCAAGAGATGAAAAGTTACTGGTTGCCATTGAGGTGAGGAGGAGGATGAAGAGGAAAGGACTGTCCTTCCTCAATGCAGGTCGCAAGAGGGACTACTTAACCTACCTCTGCCTGTCAGGTAATGCGTCTCTTCATAAACTTAAAGTATCTAAAGTAGTAACTAGTTTAATCGTTTGTCGAGCAATGTTCTTGAAGTTTGATGGAGACTTGTTTCCATGTAGTTACTAACAGCAGACCAGCTCAAGTCCTCATTACTAAAGTTAAGAAGTATCGAGGCACAAGACAGCTTGCTAAAAGGTCTCAGTGGTCCGTGGAGCAGCTGCGGCAGGTCAATGGCATCAACCCCGATAAGGTGACCATCCTTCTTAATGCAGCTTTTATTTTCCAGTATAGTCTGTTATTTTGACGGAATGCATATTTTCAGGACACTCCTGAGTTCGACCTAGTGTTCGACCGCACCACTGATCAATGGGTAGCCAGCTCAGCTGCAGAGAAATGCATGTTTGTGCAGGTTCTGTACCATGCTTGTCAAAACTACTGGGAGGCCAAGCTTGCCCAAGCCAACCCAGCATCCCCCGCAGACCAGAAGACACCAGGAGCTCCGGAGAACAAGAAGAGCCCTGGAGCTCCAAGCCAAATTAGCTTTGTCAACTGTCAGCAGAAGCTAATGGGAGGTGAGCAGGCTGAGAAAGACGGATCGCTGTACTGACCTCTTTGCAGAAAGAATATGTATGGAGAACCTGAGAACTATTTCTTTCTTTCTTTCTTTCTTTCTTTCTTTCTTTCTCTCTCTC